GTATGAAATGTTGAAAGGTATTCTTTAAAAAGAGGAAGAAGAAGAAAAAGGTAAAGATAAAAATTATGAACAACTACATATCTATCAACAAGTGAATCTAAAAATCAAGTGAATAAAAAATCTGATGAACAGAATAAACTGGTGAATATAATAGAATCAGGGGCATAGAAAGGAAGTGGACTGACAATCCTTGGGGGCAAAGGGGTGTGGGGGGTGTAGGAAGAGACTGGACAAAAATCATATACCTATGGATGAGGACATTGTCGGGGGCCGGTTAGGGCAGAGGGTGGGGTGTGAACCAGGTGCAGGGAGCTATGGGGTGAAAAAAGAGGAACAACTGTAATAATCTGAACAATAAAGATTTTTTTTTTTTTTTTTTAAGGAGTGGGGAGTATGATATATCAGCTGAATACTAAGCAAAAGGAAGTTGGTATGGCCATATTAACCTGTTAACCAAGTGGGACTTATAAATACGTCAAACATAAACAATATCTGGAACAAGAAGGACATATGAATACATCCTTGAAATATATGTTGCGCCCTGAAACGGACTATATATTTTTTGTAATCTTTATAATTGTTTGTAAAATTTATAATTTTTTTAATTCAATGTTTCCATTTTTTTGTTGGTATTCTTTTCTATTTGTTTGTATTGTAATTTTGTATTTTCCTTTGTGCTTTATATATAAATAAATGAAAAATATATATATTTCATTTATTTTAATTAAGTATAAATAAAAAAATAATAATATGAAATTATATCCACCGGGCGTGACATACTGACACGTCCTAGTGAAAGAGTATGCGCCTGTTATACGTTGCATAATTAAAAAGGAAACTCCCCAGTTAACAGGTTAATATTTTAAAAACTAGGCCGTAAGACAAAATGCATTACTAGAAACTAAATTATAAAATGTTCAATTTGTCAGGGAATATGAAATTCTAGACATGAAATGTAAAGCAAAACCTGATAAAAGTACTAAGAGAAATTATTCCACCATCACAGAAGTATTAATAAGTAACTTTTCTACTCTGCCATTGTAGCATCAAAGAATCCATAAATGATACTGAGTTGCTGTGGCTGTGTTCTGATGAAATTTTATAAAAACAGAATAGGCTGTATGTGGCCTGCATCCCATAGTTTGTCAACCCTTGCCTACTATAGACCTTTCCTGAGACTAAAATTCATAGGAGAAACAGCATTTGAAGTTGAGTCTTACCGAGCTAGAAGGGTTAGGAGAAATCTGAACTTTTCACAATGATGCCCTAATAAAGTAAAAAACCAAGCCTACACAAATTCATGATAATCAGCTAGTAATTAAGCTGCCTACAAGAACAAAAAATAACACATTAAAGAAAGATAATAGAATCTAATTTTTAAACCATATAATTCAAAATGTCCAATAAGTAAGAAAATATCAGACTAAAGAAACAGGAAAATGTGCATAATAATAATAAGAAAAAAACTCATAAATAGCAATCCTGAGGTGGCCCAGATGTTGGATTTAGTAGACAGCAGCATTAAAGGAGCTATTAAAAATATGTTCAGCCAAAACCAGTTTGGCTCAGTGGATAGAGCGTCGGCCTGCGGACTGAAGGGTCCCAGGTTCGATTCCGGTCAAGGGCATGTATCTTAGTTGCGGGCACATCCCCAATAGGGGTGAACAGGAGGCAGCTGAACGATGTTTCTCTCTCATCGATGTTTCCAGCTCTCTATCCCTCTCCCTTCCTCTCTGTAAAAAAATCAATAAAATATATATATTTTTAAAAATGTTCAGATAATTGAAGGAACATGTGATCTTAATGAGTGAACAGAGAAACTATAAACTTGAAACAAATGGAAATTCAAGAACAGAAAGTATAATAACTGGAATGAAAAAGTCATTGAATGAGCTTAAGAGCAGATTGGAGATAGCAGAAAAAAGGAATTAATAAACTTAAAGACAAATCAATAGAAATCCAATTTGAAGAAGAAAAGAGAGAGTGAAAGGAAAGACAAACAGAATTCTGTTCTGGCCATGATGGAACAACTAGTACTGTACTTGTCCTATTGCCATAAATAGAAACATGAACAAAATATATGATGCTGCTGACTGATACTGGACAACAGGGAGCATAAGAATGATCTGTGAGAGGAGGGAAGCCAATGAGGTGAGCCTTATGATCTCCCTAGAATTTTTTCTGGAGGTACTTCCTAGACTGCAGTGCAGGAAGTAATTTCCAAAGCAAAAGACAATTAGGTGAGGAGACAGACATTAGAGTTTAGAAAGATGGAGGCCACTGGGGTTAATTAGTGTATCAGAATACCAAAGAGAGAGAAAGTTGCAAAATATGCCTGGGTTACTCTAATGTGTGAACCATCCAATCAGATCCCTCCTTCAAAGACTTAACCGCCCTCAAGAGAGCCAATCTATGCCTTGGCTTTCTCCTACCTTCATGTAATCTTCCGTCCCCTCCTTAATTTCAAATGTATAAAAGAATAAAAGAAGCTGCAAATTTGTCATTCTGCAGAACATCTGAGATCTTGCTCCCGAGTATATGTTATCAGTTTGGTTCAAAGAAACTCATAAAAATTCTCTAGGTTTGGGTGTTCTTATATCAACCTAAGTGTACTAGAAATTGTATAAAAATTTCTGGAAATCTGATATGCCTTGGTATAATGTTACCGGTCATAATTACAGTTATCTTAAAATGCTGTATATCACAGACATAATCAAATCTCATCAGATCTTTAACCTGACCATTTTAAGTCTTTCCTAATTCACAGTTATTGTTTTATTGATTCTTCTCTGAAAGCATTTGCAATTAACTAAAGGTAAAAATACTTCAAGGAAATTTATGCAAGACTCTGGTGAGTACTCTGGATTATAGGTCTCTGGATAAGTTTAAGATCATACCAATATACAGGGTGAGAATCTCCAGAATTCTGATGAAAAAGGTGATGGATTCATAAAATTACTAACCCAAGTTAAGCAGAATAGAAATCAGTTACATGAGAATGAACTGATGGGGATGATTATAATTTTATGATCTTTTTTGTTTGAAACATTGTTGGTTCCTTTTGCTTTTCAGTTTTAAGAAATCCTTTTTCTCTTTTAAGCTGCCTATAACTAATAACAATTTGGTAAATTATACCTTTGTAAACAAAATGAAAACCAACTTTTTCTCCTTGCCTGAATTCTCTAGAATTAAAAACTCTTTGAAATATTTTTATTTTTCTAAGTATTTTTATTTTCATATTAATATAGTTACTTACATAAATTTAATAAGAATTTATTCTTGTTATAGGACATATGAAAAATATTGATTATGTTACAATATTTTGACACTAATGTCATATTTTTTGTTGGTAATCCTCACCCAACGATATTTTTCCATGACTCTTTTAGAGAGAGTGGAAAGAAGGGGGAGAGAGAGAGAAACATCAATGTGAGAAGGAGACATTGGTTGCCTCACACATGCCCTGACCAGGGCCAGGGATCGAGCCTGCAACTGAGGTACATAGAATATGTGCCCTTGTCGGGAGGGAATCAGACCCAGAATCCTTCAGTCCACAGGCTGACACTTTATTCACAGATCCAAATGGCAAGGGTGGTAATGTCATATTTGAAAATGATAAACATAGATATTACCAGGCAGTTTTAAAGAACGAAAGTTGACTTTATGGAGGCACTGCTTAGAAAGTACCACTTAAAATACTGCCTGGTACCTGAATTTCAGGGTTCCTGGTCTTATAGGTCAATAAAGGTCACTTACTGGCAGGCCCAAGAATCTCAGGACATTTTGGGGGACCTTGAGAAAAGAGGAATTCACCTAAGTCTATATATACTGCAGGCTACATCTGATAGCAAGTTGTTGTTGTTTTAAAGTATAGTACGCCCTGGTGGGTGTAGCTCAGAGTCTGTTAGAACACCAAAGGGTCTTGGGTTCTATTCCTGGTCAAGGGACCTTACCTGAGTTGCACTTTTGATCCCCAGCCCCGGCGAGGGCACATGCGGGAAGCAACCAAAGGATGTGTCTGTTTTTCACATCAATCAGACACCAAGCGCTGCTTCTGCTCTGTTTCTCTCTCCCTTTCCCCCTTATACTCTCTCTAAAAATCAATGGGAGAAACATCCTCAAGTGAGGATTAACAACAACAACAAAACTGTAGTTGACATAATAATTAGTTTCAAGTGTCAACATAATGGTTCTGTATTTATATTCATCATGATTTGATCACCACAATCAGTCTGTCACCATACAAAGTTATGATAATATTGACTAATTTCCCTATACTGTACATTTCATCCTGTGATTTTTTATTTTTTTATTTTAATGACGAGGTTTGGCCCAGCCAGTGTGGTTCAGCAGTTGAGTATTGATCCAGGAACCAAGAGGTCACTGGTTCAATTCTCAGTCAGGACACATACCCAGGTTACAGCAAAAATGAATGAAATATGTTAACATTTGGAAGGTACACAGTATTTTCCAAGTAACTAGTGCATATTACAAAAGCATTCATGGGAAAAGACCCATTCAAACTACAAGGCTGACCAATAGATTTTTATTTACAAGAGTCCGCAAACTTCATCGCTATGATTTCAGATTTCAGATTGCAAGCAACCTTTAAGACACCACCATTTGTCAAATTTGATGTAGTATCAAAGAAAAATATCCACATCATTTGTGGCTATCAAATGAAAAGGCTCTTAAAATATTTCTCTCCAATTACATATGTGTGTGAAGCCAGATTTGTTCATATACTATACTTCAAGCAAAACAACATATTGCAACAGATTGAATGCAGAAGCAGATACGAGAATCCAGCTCTCTTATGCCAGTTGTTAAGAGACTTGCAATATTATAAAACGATGTCATTCTTCTTATGGACCTATTTTGTTTTGTTGTTTTGGAAAATAGTTATTTTTCATTACAAGAATAAATGAACAGGTGCTAAAACACTCGGTGCTATTTCCATGTCCCCAGCCCTCCACCTCCCCACCATCAGCCCTACTCACTTGGTGATCTCTTCTAAGGCCGTCTCAGGTAAGGCCAGCATCTCCACCAGCAGGGACAGGATCTCAAAGAGCAGAGTGTGGGGATTCGGGGTAGCCGTCAGGACGTTCTGTTCTGGGGACATGGGATGGTGGCTGCCATTACCATTTGCTAGCCCTGGGTGCACCCCACCCCACCCACCTATCCCTCCCCCGGCTCTGACTGCCCTGGTTCATCCCTGCTCACCCACGGAGCAGAAGAAGCGCTTGGTGTCTGTCATTACGGCCAAGAAATCTTTGAAGCCCACGTGACCATCTCCTGTGGAGGTCGGAAGAAGACAGGGTGGGCAGGGGCCTTCCCGAGCGGCTCCAGGCATGGCAACCTGGGCATGATTATTAGTATTTACTCATTGAGTCTGAATATAAAAGTAACGTATAGATGTCTGGCTGGTGTGGCTCAGTGGTTGAGCGTCAATCCATGAACCAGGAAGTCATGGATTGACCTGGCACATGCCTGGGTTGCAGGCTTGATCCCCAATAGGATCAAGTACAGGAGGCAACCAATCAATTTGATTCTCTCTCATCATTGATGTATCTGTCTCTCCCTTCTCTCTGAAATGAATAAAAACATTTTTTAAAAAATAATGTATAGTCAATGCAGAAAGCATGGTGCACCCAGGAGAGTAGAAGGCAAAAATTAAAATCTTCTGAGTTACAAGCTCCTAGAACTTGAGTCCTAGAGGCAGTAATCTGAGTTCATATCTCAGGTCCACCACTTACTATTCATGTGACCTTGCAATGTCTCTTAGCACCACTAAGCCTTAGTTCTCCCAACTAAGGTGAGGATAACTATAATACCTATCTCCTGGGAGATAAGATGAGGCAAAGGGCTTAGAACAGGCCATGCATATAATACATGCTCACTAAACATCAGCAACTATTATTTTTTAAAATCATTAGTTTTTTTTTAAATATGTATTTTTAAAAATATATTTTATTGATATTTTACAGAGAGGAAGAGAGAGGGAGAGTTAGAAACATCGATGAGAGAATCACCCATCAGCTGCCTCTTGCACACCCCCTACTGGGAATGTGCCCGCAACCAAGGAACATGCCCTTGACCAGAATCGAACCCAGGACCTTTCAGTCCGCAGACCAACGCTCTATCCATTGAGCAAAACCGGTTTTGGCTAAATATGTATTTTTTGTTGATTTCATAGAGGAAGGGCCAGGAGAAAGAGAAACATCAATGATGAAAGAGAATCATTGACCGGCTGCCTCCTATCGAACCCACAACCCGGGCATGTGCCCTTGACCGGAATCGAACCCAAGACCCTTCAGTCCGCAGGCCGGTGCTCTATCCACTGAGCCAAACTGGCTAGGGCATCAGGAACTATTATTATTACCATTTGATAGTCACTGCATGAGAATAGTACATATGCACACGCATTCCCACTTTGGCCTTCAGGGCCCCACTAGACCTGGCTGTTACCTGTCTCCAACCTCACCTAGCGCCCAGACCCTCCAGCACTAACCTGCTCTGCCACCATGGGCCACATTCTTCCCAGGCTGCTTCCTTGTCCTAGAATTTTCTCCAACCCCCTCTAGCTCCTTCACTTAATACTTCCCCTTGACCATCCCTTCCTCAGAGAAGTCGGGTCAGCCCAGGTCAGATCCCTTCGAACACTCTCATATTAGCCCCCATACTTCAACCACACACTCGGAAGGTTCTTTCTGGGAGGCAGGAACTGGGTCTGTTGTGGTCTGCAGTGTCTTCTGGGCTTAAGACAGGTAGGCCTTAGAAATGTTCTCTGAACTACCTGAAGAATGAATGAATAATCTCTAGTCCTTAAAGCCACCCTCTGGGGGTGCTGAATACTTCCCATGCCACAGATGAGGCCTGATGCACAGAGAAAAGCCTGTTGCCAAGGGGCCGAGCTGGGGTCAATTCCTGGCTTGCGCGTGAAGATTTGCATTTGTGCAGCGATGGAGGAAGCAGTGGTCAGGAGCCCGGACTTCCACAGCCCTCTGCTCCCCACGTCCTGCATCTAGCCAGTCAGACCACGTGTAACACTAGCAGCGAATGCCTTCTGGACGCATTCTGTGTACCAGCTGTTTGCTCAGTGCTTTGACTGGGTTATCTCATTCAATCTTTTTTTTAATTTTTAAAAATATATATTTTTTTGATTTTTTACAGAGAGGAAGGGAGAGGGATAGAGAGCTAGAAACATCGATGAGAGAGAAACATCGACCAGCTGCCTCTTGCACACCCCCTACTGGGGATGTGCTCACAACTAAGGTACATGCCCTTGACCGGAATCGAACCCGGGACCTTTCAGTCCCCAGACTGACGCTCTATCCACTGAGCCAAACCGGTTTCGGCCTTTTTTTAATTAAAAAAATATATATTTTATTGATTTTTTACAGAGAGGAAGGGAGAGGGATAGAGAGTTAGAAATACCAATGAGAGAGAAACACACCTCTTATTGGGGATGTGCCCACAACCAAGATACATGGCCTTCAGTCAGAATCAAACCTGGGACCCTTCAGTCAGCAGGTCAACGCTCTATCCACTGAGCCAAACTGGTTAGAGCTATCTCATTAAGTCTTCCAGCACAGATGGATATTGCCATCAGCTTCATTGTACAGATGGGGAAACTGAGGCTTGGTGAACTTCATTGACTCATTCAAGATCCTACAGTTGATGAAATGAGTGACCAAATCACAGGGGAATGTCTAGGGAAGCACACACAAGGGCCCAAAAGGAAGGGATCTCAGGTCACGTACATCTTGGGGTGAGGAAGTAGGTCTTGGTCATCACTCAGTCACCAGAACCTGTCACTGAGTAGGTGGGTGCTCAGGGAGTATTAACTTTCAGGTCCAGTGCAAAATGAAAAGGCAGAAAATATTAAGAATTTCTGGACTGGCCCTCGCTGGGGAGCTCAGTTGGTAAGAGCATTGTCCCCAATACACCAAGGCTGTAGGCTCGATCCCTGGTCAGGGCACAGACAAGAATCAAACAATGAACGCATAATTAAAAAGAAATTCTAGACTGTGACAGCAGTGCATTAAATTAAGGGCAGTGCCTTTTAAGCCAGAGTCCTGAGCACCTCACTGGACTATACCGGTCTCCCATGGCCCGTGGTTAAGGTGATGAGACATCCTGCTTTTGGCGGGACAGTCCCGATTTTTAACAATTTGTCCCGCATCCTGTGGCTTTTTCAAAGCGCCGTGGGACGCGGAACAAATTGTTAAAAATCGGGACGTCTGTTCACCTTCCCTGTGGAGCTGCCCCGACTGGGACATGGAAGGAGTCTCCGCTCACTCACCATCAATATCAGCGCTCATCAGGGCATCCTCCACCTGCACCGGCGTCAGGGAGATGCCCACGATGAGCAGGACGTTCTGCAGGCTGTGCGCGTCCACCTCGCCAGGGCCATTGAAGATCTCAAAGTAACTGTGGAAGGCTGGGGCCGGCAGGGGTTACGTGAGGTGGGGACATTTCTGTTTCCACCGTCCCTCCCCTCCCCTCCAGCCACCCTCTTGCCCAGTGTCCTCTACTAGCATGGCCGCGTGGAGGGACAGGGGAACTGAAAGAGTGAAAGTGGAGGGGTGTGGTCCCATGGACTAACTGCACTCTATACAAGGGCTCAGCTGGTGTGCAAAAGCCAGGCTAATTAGCAACCTTGGCTTTGCACCAGGAGCTCCCCTCTGTGTGCCCGGCCCTGTGCTAAGCTCTCTATAGCCAGGTTCTTGTTTAACTCTCACAATAGCCTTGTAAGAGTAGAATGCTTGTTCCTTTGGAAGGTGGAGGAAACTGAGGACCAGACAGGTCTTTCTGACTCTCAGTCTGCACTTGGACTTGGGTGCTCTGTGGTCCCTCATCTGCACAGATGTGGCTTCTAGGCTTCAGTTATCTGGACCCGAGCTGGGAACCAGGAAGGATGCCAAGAAAGCCCCAGGGCAGTGCCAACTGGTACAAAAGCCGTGTCCTTCCTGGTCATAACGTGTGTGGTGTCTGGTTTCTCTGCTCCCAGCAAAGTGCGGGTTAGAACCAACAGACCTTGTACAAAGACTGGCTCTGGATTACTGTTATGGGCCGAACTGTGTCCCCTGACCTCAAATCCCCATGTGGAAGCCTTAGCCCCCACCCTGTACCTTAGAATCCAATCTAACTGGTGTCCTTATAAGAGGAGGAGATTTGGACACACAGAGACACACCAGGAATGTGCTCACACATACGGAAGACCATGTGAGGATGCAGGCAGAAGGCAAGCCAAGCAAAGAGGCCTCGGGACAAACCAAACATATCAACATTGTGATCCCAGACTCCTGGCCTCCAGAGCTAGCCTGCCCTTCTCGGAGCCTCGGTTTTCTTATCTGTAAGATGGACTTAACAGTGTGCCTTCCAAGAGCGGCTGTATTTATCCAGTGCGGGCACATAATGGACTCTGTAAGTCTGTGAGCCTCTGGCACAGAAGTGAAATGTGGGGAGGGGATGGGACTAGGGTTTGGGCGGTGGTGACGTGCTGTGAGCAGCCACATTGGAAAAGGGGAAAAAACAGAACAACTCTCAGAAGCAGATCCCATCATCCAAAATGCAGCGCAGCTGGGAGCATCAGCGCAGCTCAGCCAGCTCTCTCCTCGCCAGGCAGGATGGGGAAACCCTGGCTCTAAGCCACAAAGGCATGCTGCCCATGAACTCTACTCGAGGAGGTGGGGCAGCGGATCTTGTGCTAGAAAAGCCCAGCCAACAATGGCTAGAGGGTCTTAAGGCAGAAAGGTGTGAACTTCCAGGAGGGGGTAGGAGGGAGCCAGAGAGTGCATCCAAGAAAGGCAGAGGAGCAGGCCACTGTGGCCAGAGGGTCTAGGCTTTGGAGGAGTGAAGGTGGAGGAATGAAGGTGGAGGAGTGAAGGTGGAGGAGGTGGAGGAGGTGGAGGAGTGAAGGTGGAGGAATGACGGGTGGAGGAGGTGGAGGAGTGAAGGTGGAGAAGTGAAGGTGGAAGAGTGATGGGTGGAGGAGTGAAGGTGGAGGAGGTGGAGGAGTGAAGGTGGAGGAGTGAAGGTGGAGAAGTGAAGGTGGAAGAGTGATGGGTGGAGGAGTGAAGGTGGAGGAGGTGGAGGAGTGAAGGTGGAGAGGAGGTGGAGGAGGTGGAGGAGTGAAGGTGGAGGAGTGAAGGTGGAGGAGGTGGAGGAGTGAAGGTGGAGGAGGTAGAGGAGTGAAGGTGGAGGAGTGAAGGTGGAGGAGTGACTGGTGGAGGAGGTGGAGGAGTGAAGGTGGAGGAGGTGGAGGAGTGAAGGTGGAGGAGGTGGAGGAGTGAAGGTGGAGGAGGTGGAGGAGTGAAGGTGGAGAAGTGAAGGTGGAAGAGTGAAGGTGGAAGAGTGATGGGTGGAGGAGTGAAGGTGGAGGAGGTGGAGGAGTGAAGGTGGAGGAGGTGGAGGAGTGAAGGTGGAGGAGTGAAGGTGGAGGAGTGATGGGTGGAGGAGTGAAGGTGGAGGAGGTGGAGGAGTGAAGGTGGAGGAGTGAAGGTGGAGGAGTGAAGGTGGAGGAGGTGGAGGACGACGCACACCCACTCCTTTAGGGCCAGGCTGACGAGGCCGCCTCAGGAGCCCACAGAAGGCAGTGATGCCTCGCCTCACAAGGCAGTAGGCGGGGTCACAGGCCCCAGCCCGAGCTCAGCGCCTCGCCCAGGGTGTGTGCTCAGAACGTGTACATTTTGGGGTGGGAGCTGGTGCGGTGGGAAAGGGAGGCCAGTCTAGGACAGCCAGGCCCTGGAGGCTGCTTCAAAGGAGGCCCAGTGGAGCGGGCTCCGGGAGGGAGGCAGAAACGCCTCCAAAGCCTGACGCGCTTGGCAGGCCTGCCTCCGTCCCTCGTCCCTCAGCGAGGTGATGGAACTGGGAAGCATCCTGGACCCCAAGCGAGAGGAGCAGCATGCGTTCTGGCCCCTCACCCAGCGGTGTGCGCCTTGGACCAGCTCCTGGCCTGCACGATCCCTAGCCAGGCACTCCGCTGGGTCCACTGCACAGGGCTGGGTGGCACCGGGCGGCGGTCTGCTCTGTAAACACCCCCACCCCAGGTCTGTGAACTCCTAAGGACGGAGGCTTCTGATGCCCCTGCGAGGGGCTCCCTGGGCCGGCTCACCTTCCTCTTGCTTCAGGGTGAGATGCTCCTCGGACCGCGCCTCCCAGTTCTGACACAAGTTTAGGAAGCAGCGCTCCTCCAGCTCCTGCCTGCAGAGGACACACCGGCCATACATACCTAGCCGCCTGCCCCTGCCCCTGCCTACGGCTGCACCCAGAGGAGGGCAGGACTAAAGAGAAGAGGGGGGAGGCTTTGGGGGGTCAGAGAGGCTGAGTGACCCAGAGGAAGAGCGGGGAGGAGGTGAAGGACATCATGGCGGGGCGGTAGGAAAAGGGGTCAGAAATGGGAACGGAGACCTAGATATGGGGACATAGAGCTGGGAGAGAGGACACACAGGGCCAGTGACAGGAACAGGAGTGTGGGAGAGAGATGCCAGGGACAAGAGGACAGCAGCTCTGATCCTCTCTTTGGGGGGCTCCTACCGTGCCTTGGCGTGGCTCAGGCTCCTCTCGTTGCTGTGGTGCAGGAATACTGTCTTCCTCCAGCCCAGGTCCAGGGAAGGCGCGGGCAGGACCGTGACAGGGACAGCGGCCGGGACAGGGGCTCCCACAGGGACAGGGATGGGCCCCGGGGCTGGTGGCCGGACCCAGGATGGGGCCATGGCGGGGGCCGAGGCGGGGGTCTGAGGCAGTGTCAGCGTCAGGTTTGAGGCCGAGTTGCCAACCGGGGCTGAGGCGGGCACAGGGTTCAGGGTCTTGGGGGCTTTCCGGTTTGGCAGGGACCGGGCCCTGGTGGCCCTCCGATGCATGGCCTCCTCCTCCTCCACCTCCAGCAGGCACTTCATGAAGCCCTGCCCGGGGCTCCCAAGGTTCTGGGCACCCGTGGTGGGTGTGGGCTCCGGAGGCTGCTTCGGGGCACAGCCCAGCTCCCTCCTCTCTCCAGGGCCCCTCACCTCCTGGGGACAGAGAGGGGGAGGGGGTGTGGCCTCCAGCAGCCACAGTGCCCGCAGATGTTCTTGGTGCCATCGACTCTCCAGGGCATCCTCGCACCCACTGCCCCTTCCTCTCTGGGCCCTGGAGGATGTCGCCCAGATCTCACGTGCATCCCATGAGGCTCCCACCCCATCAGTCCCCTGCACTTGATGTGGGCTCTGCCACCTCCCAGCTCTGAGCTGTGGTCTGGAGTTCCTCTGGGTCCCACCACTCGCTGTGACTGACGTAGCCTGCAGTGGCCTGACCAGAGATAACTTCGGGGGCCTTGTCCACCTCTTTAACCACCTCTACCCAGCACTCCACACAGGGCAGGCACGCAGTAACTGGCCACTCATTCCTTTAGCAATCCAGCCACCTTTCCCCTCCCCTCCCATCACAGCTGCCCTGCCCCTCCCCTCCCCTCCCATCACAGCCGCCCTGCACCTGTCCCCGGCCCATCTCTAACCAGGCCTTGCCCTGCAGGCTCCAGCCCAGTCTTTGCTCTGGAAGATGCAGCGCTTGCCACACACCCTCTTTTCCTAAAGTAGGGGTGTCGAACTCAATCAGAGAAGGGGCCAAAATCTAAAATCCAGCCTAAATCGAGGGCCGAATGGTTTACTGAACAGTCATAAACTGTCATTGTGATGGAAACGCAGCGGAGTGCAGTGATGACAGCGCGGTGCGGGCCACATTGCAAGGCCTGGCGGGACGGATTTGGCCCGCGGGCCTTGTGTTTGACACATGTGTCCTAAAGCATCAGCTCTACTTCACCGCCAGATTGCTCCCATCAGCCTGTAAGCATGCCATAGCATCTTCCTTCTTTTAAAAAAGTATATTTTATTGATTTCAGAGAGGAAGAGAGAGGGAGAAAGAGAAACATCAATAATGACAGAGGCCAAGACTGGTTTGGCTCAGTGGATAGAGCGCTGGCCTGCGGACTAAGGGTCCCAGGTTCGATTCCAGTCAAGGGCATGTACCTTGGTTGCGGGCACATCCCCAGTGGGGGGTGTGCAGGAGGCAGCTGATCGATGGTTCTCTCTCATCTATGTTTCTAACTTTCTATCCCTCTCTCTTCCTCTCTGTAAAAAATCAATAAAATATATTTTTTAAAAATAATAATGACGGAGAATCATTGATCCGCTGCCTCCTGCATGCCCCCTACTGGAGATCAAGCCCGCAACCCACGCACGTGCCCTGACCAGGAATCAAAACCGGGACCCTTCAGTCCGTAGGCCGAAGCTCTATCCACTGAGCCAAACCGGCTAGGGCTACCTTCCTTCTTTAAGAGAAAAGTGCTCTCCTGACACCACAACCCCTTCCGGCTACTATCCCAGTTTTCTCCTCGGATGCTTCTCGCCTTTCAGTGACACATGAGGCCAGATCACCAGCCCAGACGCACGGCAAGGAGAGTGCTGTTATGAAATGACACCCTGGAGCAGAGGGGGCGGCAGCATGGCCAGAACAGCCGAGGACTGCCAGGAGCTTCCGGCCTTAGTGGTCGTCGCTGGAGAGTGAAACCCACCAAGTCAGGGCTTTTCTCCAGCCGTGCTGAGCTGCTCATGTGCAGGCAGAGGGCAAATGGGTGGCGGGTTAGCCAGGGTTAGGGGTTGGCCAGTGACGAGCAGAAAGACACAGGGGCAGGCGATGACTGGGCATTCACAGGCTGCCCAGAGGTGGCAGAGCTGGTGGAGAGGGGGTGCTGGGAGGGGAGTGGAAGCCCCCAGATGTTCAGGGAAGCTTTGGATCGTATGCTGTGATCAAGAGCGAATGGGTGAGAAAAAAATATATACCGGTGTGGGAAAAGCCGAAACAAGACTTGGGGTGAACACAAGGGCTCCAGGGTGTAAGAGCATCCTTGACCCCCCCCCCCCAAGATGCACACATATACAGATGTGCGTACACACGTGTGCATGCATGCACACACATGTGCATACAAACACACAGGTACACACCTTCCCCAGTTTGACTCCCAATACTGTCCCATTTCTGCCTCTGCCCCCTTCCTCCTCAGGGTCCCCTCCGCCTCTCCCTATCTCCTCTCTGGCTCTACTTACCGGTGGAGGGACAGGCCCTGGTGCTGGCTTCATCTCCACAGCCTTGACCCTAAACAGGGAGAAGCCCCAGTGCGGGAGGGGCTCCGTTTAAGGCATGGCCCTTGCACCCCCTTCTCTCAGCCCCCAGGACCCTCAGGTCCACCATCTCAGCATCATCCACCTGGTCCTTTAATCTCAGAGGGCCCCCCATTCTCATGCCCCCGCCCCCCATAGGGCTTGGCCCATAAAGTGCAGGTCCACAGAACAAAAAATCCCAGTGTTAGAGCCATTGTACAGATGGGCACATTGAGACCCAGATGGGCACATTGAGACCCAGAGAGCCAGGACCTGCCCCCCCCCCCCCCCCCCCAGGCCCTCTGTCAGGTCAGGAGCAGCCAGGACTCGAATTCACCTCACTTGGAACTCAGCCAAAGAGCCCTCTTGCTGGGGTCAGGGAGTGGGTGGGCTGGCATCAGGGGATGGCTTACCCTTCTCTGGGCGGGTGAGGTCCTGGCGTGGGTGTCGGGAAGGAGTTGCCAGTCTTCTCCGGAGTCCTGGGCATGAGGGGCTTTGCTTCCTGAGACCCGTCCTTGTCTCCCCCCAGGCCAGGCTCTGGCAGGGTCCCCTGTGGCCTAATGTGTGGGGCGCCTGCCTCCTTGGGGGGCTTGTCTTCCAGGTACTGTCCACAGCTGTCCAAGGTGCAAGAAGGCTCTGCTGTCTGCACTAAATCTGACCCACTTGCTGCCTTGTGACCTGGGGTGGGCTGATGACAAGGACACCAAAATGGGCAGCCCCATCCTGGCTGACCTTCGACCAAGGTGAAAAGTCGGCAGAGAAGGACAGGCCTCAGCAAACGGTGCCGGGACGATGGCATAGCCACGTGCCAAAAACGAGCCTCAGGCCAACACTCACACCATTCTCAAAGATCAACTCTCCAGCCGAAACCGGTTTGGCTCAGTGGATAGAGCGTCAGCCTGCGGACTGAAAGGTCCCTGGTTGATTCAGGTCAAGGGCATGTACTTTGGTTGCGGGCACATCGCCAGTAGGGGGTGTGCAAGAGGCAGCTAATGGATGATTCTCTCTCATCGATGTTTCTAACTCTCTATCCCTCTCTCTTCCTCTCTGTAAAAAATCAATAAAATATATATTTTTTAAAAATCAACTCACCATACTCTAACCATGTCCCAAAGCTGAGACACAGCTTCTAGGATATCCTGGTGTAAAGAAACCCAGCATGTCCCCATGTTAATTGTATGCAGAGGCCCACTTACCTGCTTCCTGCCTCAGGCACCCACCGCATACCACAGGGCCACCCCGGAAGCAGGTCTTAAAGGCTTGCTATGGACAATCAAGACCCATGGGAATATCCCCGTACCCACACAGACTGCGTGCTGGGCGTTTCCGGGGCACAGAGAGGAGACACACAATATACCAGTGGGGCGTGGGGTCAGTCATTCCCTGCCTTCCTGCCCAGTTCTCCGCAGACATTACCTGGCACCTCTTGGGGGCCTGACCCTTCACTGTCCTGGGGTTCTGCTGCCTCTCCTGCAGGTCCTCGGTCTCCTGCCCGGAGCCCTGCTGCTGCAGCCCTTCAGGAGCTGGGGAGACACTGCAGGGCAGCACCCCCGGCTCACTTCCTGGCTTGGCCTGATCCTGGCCCACTTGCAGCTCCTCCGGCCGCTCCTGAGGGGCCAGAGAGGACAGCTTCTTCCTGGGAGAACAGACAAAGGGACACCTCAGCTCCTGGCCTGGGGCCCAGTTTTATATTCTCACTGAAGGATTCCTGTACATTGAAACTAAATTAATTAGAAGGGGGGGGGGCAATGGTAAGATATGTACACATATAATACCTTAATTTTAATTAATTAATTAATTAACTAACTAAAAATTAATTAATTAACTAGTCCGGCGGGGCAGGACTGGGCGAGACAGGCCAGACATACCCTGGAGCCAACCTCCCGCAGTCCCTCCTGGCTGGCCTGCTGCTGGGGTGGCACTAGAGCTCAAAGGGCGTCTGCGGAGTGAGAGGGGGGTCCCTCTGGCAGATGGGTTCCCTCAGCCTGGCTGAAACCGGCAGTCTGACATCCCCCGAGGGGTTCCAGTTTGCAAGAGGGTGGTTCTTGGGTGATAGACCCGGGAATCAGGCTCCCTCCTCTCTGGATCCAGGTGTATCACCTGGGAACCACAACTGCCAAGTCACTGCAGTGTAGCAGCTCCTGTGTTGAGCATCTGCCCCCTGGTGGTCAGTGTGTGTCATAGCTACCAGTCGGCCAGTTGAATGGTCAGCTGGGCAAAGGGTCACTTAGGCTTTTTTTTTTTAATTTAATAAATCTTTATTGTTCAGATTATTATAATTGTTTCTCTTTTTTTCCTCCCATAGCTCCCCTTCACCCAGTTCCCACCCCACCCTCTGCCCTTACCTCCCCCCACTGTCCTCATCCATAGGTGTACAATTTTTGTCCATCACTTAGGCTTTTATATATATAGATTTTCTAGAGAATCATAATTTACTTAACTGTTTCTCTATTTGGGCATTTAGGGCACATGGGCAGTCCCAATCTTTTAGTGTTTAAAAAAATGTGACAGTGAACATTTTTCTGCATAAAACTTTGCCTGGCTCTCCAGTGATATGCCTTAGGGCATATTTCTGGGAATGAGTGAAAGATGGTTAGATATTTACCCATTGATTTTTAGGGAGAATGGAAGAGAAAGGGAAAGATGGAGAGAAACATCAATGTGAGAAAAACACATCCATTGCCTCCTGCATAAGCCTCAACCAGAGCTCAGGCCTGGAAGGAGCCAGCAACCAAGGTATGTGCTCTTGACCGGAATCAAACCCAGGACCCTTTAGACCTCGTGAGGGATGCTCTATCCACTGAGCTAAACTGGCTAGGGCTAGAAGTCAGTGAAAACAATTTGCCCAGTTGTTTCAGTAGAAACAGTTTATATTTCCGCCAGCATGGTACACAGTATGTGTCTCTCCAGGGACTCAAACCAGGCTTTGATGGAGTCCCTTAACTTTTCATGGAGAAGAGATGATTTTACAGGCGTCTTCAAACTACGGCCCGCGGGCCACATGCGGCCCGCAGAGGAGTCTGATCCGGCCCGCCAGGTTTTTTGGGCAGTGAGCGCAGCCGAGGTGTTACAGTAGGAATTAGTAGTTCATATAGTCCGGCCCTCCAGCTCTCTGAGGGACAGTGATCTGACCCCCACTTTAAAAAGTTTGAGGACCCCTGATAGAGGTTTCTGGTTATAATCAAATATAAGCAACAAGCTAACCAGGTGTCACTATTACTGTTTACCAAATCTTTCACTTTGCCTTTCTCTGGCTTCCTGCTCACTTGCTCTCTTTGGAAAGAATATGTTCTCACTGCAGACAAGTTTAAAACATATACACAATATTTAGAAAACAGGAACAATAATTCCATGTAAACGTGTGTTTCCATGTCTCTCAGCCTCTCTTTTGTTCCTTGCTTTTTTAAAAAAAATTGATTTAGTGAATATATATTTATTGAGCATCTACTATGTACCAGGCACAACCCCAGGCATGAGGAATTTGAGGCTGAACATGACAGAAGCCTGTGGCCCAGCAGGGGAGCTCAGACAACAGCCAACACAATCATTTCGTGTGACTTGTGTGAGGAACCAGTTCAGGCGCTGTGAATGGGAGGGTCCACCTTGGTCTGGGAGTACTCCCTCCTCCCCCTCCTCACTCCCGATGGATCCCAGGGCGCTCTCTCCTGGACCTGCTCTCGGGGAAGCCCCCGGCTCACCCTAGGTCTGCCAGGTGACTCTGCTCCTGGATCCTGAGCTCCGGAGGCCCCTCCTCTGATGCTTCTCTGTGTCCGGGCCGCTTCTTGGGCCTTTCTGGGGCCGGTAAGGGCTCCTTCCTACTGCCTGTCCCCGCAGCATCCGCAAATATGACCTGGAACAAAGATGCTATTGTGAGCACCCATTCTGGGGGGATACACCCCGACTCCCTGGGCATCGTCCTGGCCTCGGAGACAGGGAAATTCTGTGTCTACCCAGGGAGTTTGTTGGAGAGAGGCAGGGCGGAGACAAGAGGCAGAGAGAGAGAGGCTGGGGTGCAGAGCCAGCCAAGCTGAGAGGCTGTTGGTCAGTACTCGGTTCTGACGTAAACCTAATGTCCAGAGTAGTGCCTGATCCAAGGGTGTCCTGCCTAGGAAGGCTTGACAGAGCACGGGGGGTGGGGAGGAGCCTTGAGGACCCTCATGAGGTCCCAGAGCCCAGAGCTCCCATGAAACTGGGCTGTGATGCCCCTCTTGGTCTGTCACTCCTAGCTGGGTGGCCTTGAGCCAGTGACCTAGAGCCAGCTCCAAGCCCCACTAGCGTCAGCAAAACCCACACACCCCAGCTCATCCATCACCTGGTGCCTTCGGTGACCAAGTGATGGATGTGAGCCAAGTGATAGAAGATTCTGATGTGAGCCAACACTAAGGCACCTGCTGGAAGGCAGGGCCCGTGCCAGGTACCCCAGGGATTTCCCTCAGTAGGCCCTCACCATGACACACATCAACAGTGAGGCTCAAAGGCGTGCACTGCCATGGCCAAGGTCACACGGTTGAGGGGGGGGAGCGTGAATCACAACTGTGCTGTTGGAAAAATGACTGGGGGGTGAAGGAAGCCCTGGATGTTTGCCCCACCTTCCCTTCTAGATCCCCTCAGGCCCTCTCCTGCCCCCAAGCAAAGCATGGCTTATATCAGAGGCTACAGAGAGGGGCGTCTTCACCCAAGGGAATGTTGACCTTTTCTATGGTGACATTTGGGCTCTGAGGAAACTATCGATAGATAGGAAGGTGAGTCTTCTCTGTGCTCTCAGTTTGTGCCACTTGACATTAAAGACACTGATGGAAGTGCATTGAGGGCTTAGCACGCAGGCTGGGGGCTGGGAGGGGCCCGGGTGCAGTTGTCAGGAGAAGAAGGTTACCAGGAGAGCTGGAGGTCACCGAAGGCACCTCATAGAATAAGCAACTCTTGGTTTGCTCCTGCAGCATCTCTCCAGCATCAGAAGCCAGCACTCTTTATTTTTTAAACATATTTTATTGATTTTTTTACAGAGAGGAAGGGAGAGGGATAGAAAGTTAGAAACATCGACGAGAGAGAAACATCTATCAGCTGCCTCCTGCAAACCCCCTCCTGGGGATGTGCCCACAACCAAGGTACGTGTCCTTCACCGGAATCGAACCTGGGACCTTTCAGTCCGCAGGCTGATGCTCCATCCACTGAGCCAAACTGGTTTCGGCAACCAGCATTCTTTTTATGGGAACCTGTCCTTCTCTATTCTGCCAGTGGGGCTCAGTGAACCTCTGGCTCCATGATGCCAGGAGATCCAGGCCCCTCTGCCCTGCATGGTGGCTGGTTCCGAGATAAGCAGGTGAACATAATCTGGGCCAACGGCAGCAATACCAGACTTTCCTCGACCCTCGCAAAGCCGTTCTTCCTGATGGGGATGCTAAAGCGAGGAAGATGTATGCCTGGCGTGGCCAGGGCGATGCTTGCTATCTTGCAGGGAGAGCCTGCCTGGGAATGGTACAGAGACACTCGGTCAGCACCTTGACCCAGCCATACCTGAAGTCCACGGAAGGATTTTTCAGTTACCCAAGCAGCTGTGTTCTCCTTCCTGCCTACTCCAGTTTAAATTGGGTTTCATGCTGCTTATAACTGAGTCTTTTTTTTTTTAAATATATTTTATTGATTTTTTACAGAGAGGAAGGGAGAGAGATAGAGCTAGAAATATCGATGAGAGAGAAACATTGACTAGCTGCCTCTTGCACACCCCCTACCGGGGATGTGCCCGCAACCAATGTACATGCCCTTGACCAGAATCGAACCTGGGACCTTTCAGTCCTGAGCCAAACCGGCTTCGGCTATAACTGAGTCTTAATTAAAGCAGTTGCAGGAGGAAGGCTGGGCAGGGAAGGGGAAAGGTGTCCTTGGGAACAGAGAGGCCAGAACACGAGGCACAGGTCCTTACCTGGTTGACTCCTGATAGGGCAGGCTCAACACCAGCACTCTTTCTGCGAGTCCTCAGGCCAGGGCTTGGCTGGGCCCCTGGAGACTTGATCATATCCTCCATGTGCATCTGGGCATTTCTGTTGTCCATTGTGCCATGGCCAACAAGGGTGCCATGGGGGAAAGCCAATCAAAGGTCTGCCCGGCCCATGACCTAACCACCTCTCCAGGGGCCTCTATGGAGCCTGCAATGTGGGGACCCTGCTCGGGGGATGAGGCCTGGCCTGGCACAGGAGGGGCACAGAGCCAAACCGGAGAGGTAACCACATGCACCTTACCCACACATTTCCCCCAATTCCCACGATGACTCTGAGGAAAAGGAGACTCAAGGGAGCAACGTGACTGGGCCAACTGCCCACACTAACTAGGTCACAGAGCAGGAATCGAACCACGGCCGGCTGCACCCCAAACCCCTGCCCTTTCCCCCACAGCAGCATTTCCTAAGGGTGCTCTTTGGAATACGCGTTGCACAAGGTGTACTGCAAGGAAAGGTTTCTTGTAGGCCAAATGTGTGCGGAGTGTGCCGGGCAAAAATTAAACAGGCCCTGTCCTGCAGGACTTCTCAGAGCCTTTAATACGCTAGCGTGCATTTTAGAGAGAGCCCATGAACATCACGGTTGCTGCTGCTTGTAGATGAAAACTCTAAGTTGTCCTTGGGGCTAAGGAACAGGAGTTGGGGGCCACCTGTCTGTGGGGGACCCTAAGGTCTCCAGTGACAATACGTAGTTCCTCAGAGGACCCAACCCTGCCCTGGACACACCCCTTTCTAAAGCCTTTCTGAGCGTCTCTCCTGCCTCTCCCATCTCACTTCACCTTCTCACCTTCTCCCCTACCGCCATCCCTCACCCAAACATTCTGCTTTAACCTAGGCCAGTGGTCGGCAAACTCGTTAGCCAACAGAGCCAAATATCAACAGTACAACAATTGACATTTCTTTTGAGAGCCACATTTTTTAAACTTAAACTTCTAACGCCACTTCTTTAACATAGACTCACGCAGGCCCTGGTATGTTGTGGAAGAGCCACACTCACGGGGCCCAAGAGCCGCATGTGGCTCGTGAGCCGCAGTTTGCCGACCACGGATCTAGGCAGACTCCTGCAATCCTAATGCCACAGACCCCAGCCTCTGTGCCCACCTCCCTCTTCTCTGGCTCTCCAACACCCCCAGCCCATCCTCCAAGCTCCGACTTCTTTTCCAAGCTTCCACCCGCCTCAGCCCTCTCTCCAGCCTCTGAATTCTGTTGAGACAACATCACCACCATTTCTATGGGTACATCGTGGACCCCTTGTCTAGGGGTGAGTCCTACCCCTCAGTGAGACCGTGTGACCTTGAAGCTCTCGATGGGATTTCTTCCACTTTAAAGCACGTCCGGCCAGCCACCATCCATGGAGGGACCTTCTATGTGCTGGCCACGTTTGCAAATGGTATTCTCCTAACCACCCTGTGCAGTCACTGTGTTTGGCCCTGTTTTAAAGATAAGGAAATCAAGACTCAGGGTAGTCCAGAGTCTTGTCCAATACCACAAGGCTGGCCTGACTGGCATGGCTCGGTGGTTGAGCACCAACCTATGAACCAGGAGGTCACGGTTCAATTCCCGGTCAGGGCACAGGCCCCGGTTGTGGGCTCCATCCCTAGGGTGGGCAGTGCAAGGGGCAGTCGATCCATGGTTCTCTCTCACTGATATTTCTCTCTCTCCCTCTCCCTTCTTCTCTGAAATCAATAAAAATATATTTGAGCCCTAATCGGTTTGGCTTGGTAGATGGAGCGTTGGCCTTCAGACTCAAGAATCCCAGGTTCGATTCCGGACAAGGGCATGCACCTTGGTTGCGGGTACATCCCCTGTAAGGGGGTGTGTAGGAGGCAGCTGATTGATGTTTCTCTCTCATCGATGTTTCTAACTCTCCCTTCCTCTCTGTGAAAAACACCCCTTTGTAAGTGTTCTCTTCCATGGCTGGCCTGCAGAGGAACTGGATTCAAACCCAGGCCTTGCTTATCCCACCAAGTTATCTCACCTCCAAAGAAGCTTACGCCCATGCAATGCACAGTTGTCTAATGGGCATGGGCACAGTGCCAGGCCCTGGGAAGGCACCAGGGTCACATGTTTTCACCAGGACCACAGAGGAGGAGCACCTAACAGCTGCTGACCAAAATGCCCCCTCCCTTCCTCTTTCCTCCCAACCCGATCTGCCCTCCAGTCCTTCCTGCAATGAGGCTTGCACCCCCACAATGCACCCAGGTGACCCTGCACCCCAGATGGCAGCTCGGGGACCCCAAAGGCCGCAGGCTCTCACTTGGCAAGAAGAAATCAGCATTGTGACCAAGTCCCTCTCTCTTCCCTCTGAGCTCCTGTCTCCTCCCTGCCTCTCTCCCATCAGGGTTCCTTAAGCATTCCCGCCCCAGGGGTGGGTGACCCTCTGGGGGACTCCTCCCCGCCAGGCCCCTCAAACACGCCCCCCATTGTTCGGGCTCCTTACCTCAGAAAGCGCAGGCTCCCTCTTGGAATCCTGAGAGCCCAGTATTCCACAAGCTGACATTTGAGGGGGGCAGGGGCCCCGGGGCATCCCCATGGGGAGAATCTGGGCGAGAAGGGGCAGAGAGGCATGGAGCCTGAGGGCAGAAACGAGGGGTGGCAGTGGCAAACACGGACTGTGCCCATGGGTCCAGGGGCTTTACTCCTGGGAGACCCCATTTCCCCTGTGTTGCTGGGCACATTCGGATACAAGGAGTCAGCATGTGAAAGAGAAAACAAGTGGCCCAGCCCCAAACTGGCATTGGGATGCAGCCACACAGACTCACACACACTCATCACACACTCATCACACACTCATACACACACACACACACACAAACACAGGAGACACAGACATACTCATTCATTCATTCATTCATTCACTGAGCACTTACTCTGTGCCAGGCCCTGTGCTGCTGAATATGCGGATCCACAGGTGGCAGGGACAGGTTCCTACATCCAAGAAGCTCTGGGTCTAGTGCAGTGGTCGGCAAACTCATTAGTCAACAGAGCCAAATATCAACAGTACGATTGAAATTTCTTTTGAGAGCCAAAATTTTTAAACTTAAACTTCTTCTAACGCCACTTCTTCAAAATAGATTCACCCAGGCTGTGGTATTTTGTGGAAGAGCCACACTCACGGGGCCAAAGAGCCGCATGTGGCTAGTGGAAAAGCAGAAGTAAACTGAATGTGGAGGACGGGAGGGGCTAAGATTGTCCATCTGGGAGGTGCCCTCCCTTCTCCCCTCCTCTCAATAGCTCTCCCCCTTCACCTTCGGAGGGGTGTCTTTGCCACTCCAGAGCGTTAAGAAAATGAGAGGCAGGCCCAAAGGCCGAGGAGGAAGAAATCTCATCTTCTGGGTCATTGCTCAATGTCTCTCCGCTGTGGAGAATCAGGGTAATGAGCGGAGCTGAAATTTAGAGGTTAAGTCAATTCACCTAAAGAGAGGTTAACTTCACGCTCTCCGGGATGACTGTTACCAAAGAAAATGGAAAATAGCAATTATTGCCTGGCCAGCGTGGTTCAGCGGTTGAGCATTGACCCATGAAACAGGAGGTCAATAAAAATATATTTAAAGAGAGAGAGAGAGAGGGGGGGGGGGGAGAGAGAGAGGGAGAGAGAGAGGGGGGGAGAGAGAGAGAGAGAGAGGGAGAAGCCCAAGCCCTAGCCGGCTTGGCTCAGTGGATAGAGCGTTGCCTATGGACTGAAGGGTCCTCAGTTCAATTCCAATCAAGGGCACATGCCCAGGTTGCAGGCTCGGTCCCCAGTAGGGGGTGTGCAGGAGGCAGCTGATCAATGATTCTCTCTCATCATTTATGTTTCTATCTTTCCCTCTCCCTTCTGAAATCAATTAAAAAATATATATAATGAGAGAGAGAGAGAGAGAGAGAGAGAGAGAGAGAGAGAGAGAGAGAGAGGAACCTTAGAGGAACCTTAGTTTCCAGAGAAAAAGGAGGAAATTGGGAAAGGGTGCTTTGAAGGAAAGTCATTGGAGGAAAGTGAAACTTCAGGGTGGTGATTGCTTCTCAGAGACTGAATTTCAAGAGTTCCCATTGGCTGGGGCAGGGAAAAACCCTCCTTCCCCTTCTGGGGTCGGAGAGGTCCTTGTTGGGAATGCAAGCTAGTTTCTTCCTGTTAGGTTGTATGACTGAAGTGGAATGGTAGTGCATGAAAGCTAGTTCTCCTGGCCTCTTGTTAAGCAAAGGGCTAAGGTCCGAGAAAACCTCAGCACATTGTGAATTCTAAACACAGAACCCAGAGGACTGGCTGTGAGAGACATGGGTATATTAGGACTTACATGCGCACCGTGGCCGACCCATGAAATTTTCCACCACACCAGTGGCAGCTGCCATGGGTGAAGTTTTCCATCAAGTCCCATTTGGCTCGGGGATGGGCCACACCTGGGGCAGCCAGGCTGGTGCTATTGTTTACTGCAACCCAGACTTTCCCAGTGCAAGGCTGTATGGAATAACAGAGTTTCCCAAACTTCTCTCAGGATGAGAATCACCTGGTGGAGTTCACTAGTTAGGTATACAATTTTACCTATATGTTCCCCAAAATTCCAGTTTAGCACTTCTTAGTTGGGATTCAGGAATCTGTATTTTAACAACTCCACCAGGTGATTCTCATCATGAGAGAAGTTTGGGAAACGCTGGAGTACAGAAAACAAAGCAAAACAGGGCAAGTGGGGGAGGGGGAAGTGCCTACATGCAAACTGTGTAAGAGCAAAACACTAGCTATTCACAATCCAGGCTCACATCTAAGAGGCCATTTCTCCCGCCTCTCTTTTTAAAAAATGTATTTTATTGATTTTTTTACAGAGAGGAAGGGAGAGGGATAGAGAGTTAGAAACATTGATCAGCTGCCTCCTGCACACCCCTCTACTGAGGATGTGCCCGAAACCAAGGTACTGCCCTTGACAGGAATCAAGGGGACCCTTTAGTCTGCAAGCCGACACTCTAGCCACTGAGCCAAACCCGTCAGGGCTCTCCAGCTTTTCTTAGACCCAGGACTGGCCAGGCTCCCACTTACAGATGGCCTCACTATATCCCCACAGGGTGGGAGGGGGAGATGGGGCATGGGAAGAGCTGCATTCCCATTTACCATATACATCCTGGCTCCACTTTATTTTTTTTTATTTATTTTATTTTATTTTTTTTTAAATATATTTTATTGATTTTATACAGAGAGGAAGGGAGAGAGATAGAGAGTTAGAAACATCGATGAGAGAGAGTCATCGATCAGCTGCCTCTTGCACCCCCCCTACTGGGGATATGCCCGCAACCAAGGTACATGCCCTTGACTGGAATCGAACCCGGGACCCTTCAGTCCCCAAGCCGATGCTCTATCCATTGAGCCAAACCGGTCCTGGCCTGGCTCCACTTTAAATGGGGTCTCTTTT